TCCTGCTGCCATCTAGCGAGACGAGGCCCCTTCTCAGGCATCACAACAAAAACCAACACTCCGGGAGAATAAAAGAGAACCGGGAGGTGTTCCCCCTTTAACTGTTTTGAACCAAAACTCGGATTTGGGGGAGTGAATCCCCACTCCTCACTCAGCGGCAAGCTCCTCACTCAGCTGCAAGCTTCTCGAGCTCATCGAAGTCGTACGGGTCCAGCTGCCTGATCTTGGTCTCTGCAGGATGGAAAAAACAACTGTCAGGAGGTAAAAGCAGACCTTGTCCCCCAGCTGAGCCGGTGTCCGTGCTGCCTGCATGCCCCGTGCTGGCTCGGAAGCGCCCGGAGCACTTGCTATAGCATTTCCCTCTGCAGGAAAGTCAGCTGGGAGGAAGCACAGGGGAACTGGATCAGGGCAGCAGCAGCAAGAGCGAAGCAGCCCCAAGGAAGCAGCATGTCAGCCCCAGCCTATGGATGTGCTCCCACCTCCACAGCCACGCAGGACAGGGAAGGCTCCTATCCTCAAACCACAACGTCACAGTGTGAAAAACCACAGGTCATCTTCAGGCATTCATCCAGCTGGATTTTCATCCTCACAACAGGATCCTTCAGCTCGTTCTGGCCACAGCTGCCATCAGACTCATCCATATCCCCATTATTCCAGCTGCTCATGGCTACAGCTGCTCAGGAACAATCTTCACCAGACTATCTGGGTCGCACTCACCCTGCCCAGTGTCTACCATGGGCTCAGTCAGTGCTTAAAGGACAAGAGGAAATTCAAAGGGACCAAGAGGGCTGAGCAGCTCTGAGGCCACAGCTGAGGAAGGGATGCAATCTTCTGTCCACCACCAAAAGGTTTCAATAATCTCCTTTGCCCTAAAAATCACAGGGACAACAGGCACCAGGATTCGAAAAGACACCGGTGCAGCCACGGCATCTGGCAAATCCCACAAAAATCCTCTTGATGTTGATGAGTGACAATCGATTTCCATTCAGGAAAGACTTCTACAGCTGACAGCTCCTCTCCCACAGCCAGGGTTGGGCTGAACCGGGGCATCGGGTCCCCCGGGACAAGGACTTGCAGGGAAAGGCAGAAAAAATGCCTGAAGGAGGGAAACAAAGGAGGTGCTGAGGCATCCTGGGTGCTGGCACCATCTCTTGCAAGTCACACACCACCTCCAGGGCCCTTTCTTGGAAAATTTGGCTGCTGGGGAGCAAAAAAACACCCTAAAAGCTGCATCTGCCACCTGTTCCCAGCAGGATGAGCCCTGGGGAGAGGAGCAGCCCAGCAAGAATCACTGAAACACAGAATCAATCGGGCTGGAAAAGACCTCTGAGATCAAGTCCAAGCTATGACCTGACACCACCATGTCAACTAGACCATGGCACTAAGTGCCACCTCCAGTCCCTCCTTAAACACCTCTAGGAATGGTGACTCCACCATCCCCCTGGGCAGCACATTCCAGTGCCTAATCACCCCTTCTGGGAAGAAATTCTTCCTAATGTCCAACTTAAACTTCCTTTGGTGCAGCTTGAGACTATGTCCTCTTGTCTTGTTGTTTGTTCCCTGGGAGCAGAGCCTGACCCCACCTGGTTATAACCTCCTGTCAGGGAGTTGCAGAGAGTGGTCAGGTCACCCCTGAGCTCCACTCCTGGAGTGGTGGATCCATACAGATACTCACGGAAATGCTCCTCTATCTTCCGCACGAGCCCCACGCTCTGGCTCTCCACGAAGCTCAAGGCGATGCCGCGATGCCCGAAGCGTCCCGTCCTCCCGATGCGGTGCAGGTATGTCTCGAAATCTGGCTCTCCGTCCTGATCCATGGGGAGGCCAAAGTTCACCACTGTGGTGACCTGCTGCACATCAATCCCTGGAAGAGTGGGAAAGGGGCTGTGGAAAGGGATCCACTGCTCAAGCCCATGTGGAAGAACCACAGGCCCTGGAGCGTTCTGGGCCTTTGGAGGGGCGCTGGGTTTCCCAGGATACCTCTGGCACAGACGTTGGTGGCGATGAGGACCTTCTCCTTGCCCTCGCGGAAGCGCTGGATGACGCTGGCTCGCTGGGTTACTGTCAGGTCCCCTGTCAGGATGGACACGTGGTGCCCATCCTGGCTCAACTGCCCTGACAGCCACTCCGTGAGCCTACGGGTCTGGACACACAGGGAGAGGCTGAGGCCAAAAATTCCCCACTCCCAAGTCCTCTGCTCCTTCTGAGAGAGCTCCCGGCGGTTTCCAACACCCCCCTGGGGTGCATGATGAATGTCATATGAGGAAAGGCTGAGGGAGTTGGGCTTGGTAGGCTTGAGAAGAGGCTCAGGGGTGATCTCATGGCTCTCTCCAACTCCCTGACAGGGGTTAAGAGAGGTGGGGGATGTCTCTCCTGCTGTTGCTGCAGGGACAGGACTAGAGGGAATGGCCTTGAGTTGAGACAGGGCAGAGTCAGACTAGATACTAGGGAACATTTTTCCCCTGTTAGCGTGGTCAGGCATTGGAATATTGCCCAAGGAGGTGGTGGAGTCACCATCCCTGGGAGTGTTTCTGGTTTAGGGTTCAGGAGCTACAGCAGTGACAGGTTAATGGTTGGACTTAATTCTCTTAGAGGTCTCCTCCAACCTTGATGGCTCTATGATTCTATGCTCCTTCATTTTGGGAGTCTTGGGAGCAAGCCCCTGTGTCCACACTGTAAAATGCCCAATTCCTGCTATCCCTGTGGCTCTCCCAGGCAGTGTTACCTGGCAGAAGATCATTGCCTGGCCAATGGTGAAGCTGCCGTAGACGTTGCAGAGAGCCTCATACTGCTCATCCGAGCTATTGCACACCATGAAGAACTGCCTGATGTTGCTCAGGGTGAGCTCCTCCTCACGCAGCTTGATCACGATGGGATTGAAGACGATCCGCTCGGCGAAAGCCCTCACAGGTTCCTTGTAGGTGGCTGAGAACAGCAGCACTTGGCAGCTCTTGGGAAGAGCCCTGGTGCAGGGAAAAGGCCCATCAGACCTGGAGAGAGACTGCTGCCCAGGAGGACACAAACCCTAATTTAAGGTATTTTGTGTTGGCTTCAATGGAAACGGAAGCCAAGGGGGCTTATAACAGAGACAGAGAGGGACTTTTTACAGCAGCAGGGAGTGCCAGGACTAGGGGGAATGGCTTCCCACTGCCAGAGGGCAAGGATAGATGGATATTGGGAAGAATTTGACCCTGTGAGGGTGCTGAGGCACTGGCACAGGTTGCTCAGAGAAGCTGTGGCTGCTCCATCCCTTAAGTGTTCCAGGACAGGGTGGACAGGTCCTGGAGCAACCTGGTCTAGTGGAAGGTGTCCCTGCCCATGGCAGGGGGTGGAACTGGATGACCTTTAAGGTTCTTCCAACCCAAGCCATCCTATGATTCCATGATTCTGTGATTCAATCCAAGGGCTGTAATGGCCCAAAGGGAAGGTAAGCAAGGTAAAACTCTTCCCATGTATCCAGTGGTTTTATGGAAAGCCAGAGCCCTGGACAAGCCCTCTTGACACCACAGGGACACTCTCCTTCATGGCTCTTTGGTGACTGATTCCCTCAAAGCCAAGCAAAGAGAGGGAAAGCATGGAAGTGGGATGCCAGCAGACAGAAACGCTCACCTGTGGATGCGGATGCTCTGACAGGAGAGGCCCTGTGAATCAATCATGATGTCAGCCTCATCCAGCACAAACAAGGTGATCTTTGACAGGTTCAGGACACGCAGTTTGAAGCACCAATCCAGCGTGGTGCCTGGAGTCCCAACGATGATCTGCTCCTCCAGCACAGTGCCCTTCAGAACTGCAGAGGGAGAAAGGTGCCTGGTGCCTCCAGACCCGGAGCTCTCTGCTGTTCCGTGTGTTTACCCTCAGCTCACTCAGACTCTTGGCTGCCTTTGTGGGTCATCACACAGTGGGACTGGAGATGACACTGCCCTACACCCCAGTGGGGTGGGAAGCAGCCCCACATGGGAAGGGGAGTTTGGAAGCAGCCAGCAATGGTGGAAAGGTCCCCTCAGCAGGAGAGGGGCCTTCACTTTATTTGCCTTCACAGAGGCCCTGATAGCTCCACACTCTGAGGGGATCCCTCTGCTCCTGTCCTGCTCCCCAGGCAGTGCTGGGAGCTGTGCCCAGCTGCACTCACCTCGGTTTCCTCGGACAGCATAGTTCACCTTGATGT